CTCTCCAGCTGGGGCCGGCCCATCACAGCAGGCATAAAGGCCCGGGTCCCAGCTGAGCTCTGACCCACTGATTATCCCAGATTAGGGAGCCTGTGACCATCTGGACACAGCTGATAATGGCAGCAGAGGGAGGGGAGTGGGGACACTGAGTCTGCCTGTGCCCACCCCAAGGGGAATGCTCAGGACAAAGCAAAGAAGGCACCGTATCACTGGCCCACCCAGGGAAAAAATAGGGGCAGATCCAGGGCACACTCCTCCCAAACATACGGGCATCATAGCTGACTGAACCCTTTCCACATGCCAGGCAGGGCGCCCCATTTCCCCCAAGCTGACTATACCTCCAGTGCGCTTTCGTGCACATACCTTCTCCTGCTTTGTCTGCCCAGGCCCACCTTATAACCTCAACCCCAGAGTTGCCCTCCTCTATCACCAGGCACATGGCAGGTCTTTTATGTGACCTGTGTAGTCTCCCCTGACACACCCATAGGATGGCCCTTGAGGCAGGAAAGGTGTCAGTTTCACCTGTGTCCTCCAGTGCCTGGAACAAGGCTTCCCACTGACTACACCAAATCGTGTAATAGTGTAAGGCAGGCACTATTGCCGCCCACCTGCCCCCTCACAAATAAGGAAACAGAGACTCAGCCTTGTGAGGTGAAGTGACTAAAGTCATTGGGCTGGAGAGTGGCGGCAGAGCCAGGATTCAGACCTGGGCCCAGCTATCTCTGAAGCCAGCTCTCTCCATGCTGCCTCCCCCAGCATGGAGACTAGTCATTTTATGACTATTCTTAATGCTCTTCCAAAGAACAAGATTTAAAAAATAAAATAAAACAACAATATAAACCCAGCACTTTGGGAGGCCGAGGTGGGTGCATCACCTGAGATTAGGAGTTCAAGACTAGCCTGGCTAACAAGGCAAAACCTCATCTCTACTAAAAATACAGAAATTAGCTGGGCATGGTGGTGCATGCCTGTAGTCCCAGCTACTGGGGAGACTGAGGCAGAGGAATTGCTTGAACCTAGGAGGTGGAGGTTGCAGTGAGCCTAGGTTGTGTCACTGTACTCCAGCCTGGGCAAAGAGTGAGACTCGATCTCAAAAATAAAAAATAAAAATAAAAACAAAATAAAAGGAAACATTCATTACCATATGGATATATTAGATTTTCATTTTTTGTTTGTTTTGAGAAAGAGTCTCACTCTGTTGCCCAGGCTGGAGTGCAGTGGCGCAATCTCAGCTCACCATAACCTCCACCTCCTGGGTTCAAGCGATTCTTCCGCCTCGGCCTCCCTAGTAGCTGGGATTACAGGTGCACACCACCATGCCTAGCTAATTTTTGTATTTTTAGTAGAGACGGGGTTTCACCATGTTGGTCAGGCTAGTCTCGAACTCCTGACCTCAGGTGATCCACCCGCCTTGGCCTCCCACCCAAAGTGCTGGAATTACAGGCATAAGCCACCACACCGAGTCAGAGTAACCACCAAACAGTGGTTACTTATCACACAATACTGTGTGATAAAAACCTGAACCAAACAGTGAATCAGGATGACTATTCTTCCTGGTATGTTGAGGGTAAACCAGTGAGCAAAAGATCCACCTCCTTTGGCACCCACCCCCTCTGGCAGGAAAGTGGCCCTATTGCTGTGCTATGCTTCCCCGGAAGCTCCCTCTAAAAAGCAAAAAAGTCCTTAATTAAAGGCCAGCTCTACCTTCTCTCCAGGCAATTGAGGGCTCAAAGCGCCGAGCTCTCCTGCTCACCACACTAAGGGCTGTTGAGAATCGGCTGGCTGCAGTTGTAGTCAATGGCCTGCCAGTGAGGGCAGGATGCATACATCACAGTGGACTCCCTGCTCTGTGGACAGAGACCCAGTTGTACCTGGGCAGGCTGAGTAGTTAGCACAAGCACTGGACTAGGCAGCAGAGGCATGGCTTCATTTGAATTTCAAAGCTACTGGGCCTCCATCTACTTCTTTGTGAAAATGAGGGTTTGGGATCACATAAGTCATTCCAATCCACAGACTCATGTTACTTGTTCTCAAATTGGAAGTTAGGATCTTGACATTCTAAATTTTTTTTTTAAATTCGAGACCAATTTATTCTCAAATTTTGCAGACACAAATATTATCCTTGAAGTACATTAAACAAATCTTTTAATTCACTTCATCCTGTATTTTATTTTTTATTTAAAAAAAATTTTTAACCTTTTTTTCCCCTACCACCACTGCTGCCACTCATCGTGTATTTTAAAATAACTTTTTTCCATATTGATTTTTCTCCATTGGGGATAAAAACCAAAATAAAAGATAACCCAAATACGGTTAAAAAATGTTTAGGATCTTGGGTTCCAGGCAGTTCAAAAACTCTGTCAAAAGGTTATATTTACCACCAGATTGCCACAATGGCATAACAAAGTAAGAATTAGGACACTGAAATGGGTGGGGTGGTCCTGCCAGCTGGATCACATGGCCACCTACCCAGAGAGTCTGGGGCCAGGGGCAGCAGGTGGCCCAATGGCAGCCTGCCCATCCCTGGAATGAAAGCAAGAAAGCAGAGCCAAAGCTTCAGCTCTGTGGCCTTAGGGGTGGGGCAGACTTGTGGAAAACCAGGCTGCAAACACCCTGGTTGCTGGTGGTCCTGGAGGGGTGGAGCCCGTATCTCCACCTCTTATATCTGACCAGTTGCATGGCACAGTGGGGAGGTAGGCCCACTTCCTTCCTGGCCTCTAGATCTTGATCTGGGCCGAGGCTGGGCAGCAGGGTCATTTTGGCCAATGCTCATACAGTAAGCTGATCTCCATAGGTTAACAGTCACCTTCCTTCCCAAGACCCCAGCATCCCCTTACAGGTGTACTTTCCGGTGGCAATATCCTGCAGCTGGGGCACACCATCAGCAGTTGAGTCCCCTGGGACAAGCAGCACCTCAGAAAGCAAGGGCCTGGGGCTGTGGCTCTGGGAAGGGGCCAGGAGACCAGCCAATGTTTCTCACCTCCCAGGCTCAAGTGATCCTCCCACCTCAGCCTCCCAGTAGCTGAGACTACAGGCATGTGCCACCAAGTCTGACTAGTCTTTAAATTTGTGTGTGTGTGTATGTGATGGAGTCTCGCTCTGTCGCCAAGGCTGGAGTGCAGTGGCGCGATCTCGGCCCACCGTAACCTCTGCCTCCTGGGTTCACGCCATTCTCCTGCCTCAGTCCCCCAACTAGCTGGGACTACAGGTGCCCGCCACCATGCCCAGCTAATTTTTTTTGTATTTTTAGTAGAGACAGGGTTTCACCTTGTTAGCCAGGATGGTCTCAATCTCCTGACCTCGTGATCTGCCTGGCTCAGCCTCCCAAAGTACAGGGATTACAGGCGTGAGCAACCATGCCCGGCCTAAATTTTTTTAGAGATGGAGTCTGGCTATGTTGCCCAGGTTGATCTTGAACCCCTGAGCTCAAAGGATTCTCCCGTTTTGGCCCCCCAAAGTGCTGGGATAACAGATGTGAGCCACCATACCCTGCCAATATTTCTTAAAGCCTAAGAAAAACCAACAACTCCCCCTAAGATGTACTGCATGGGTTAAACTTGTAAAATGAAGTTAGTAATGAAATGTGTCCACTATAAGGGATGTCAGGAGATTAAATGTTTACAGAAAGCTCAGGGCATATAACAATTATCTTCTCACCATGGTCATGCTTACGCTATAAATGTAGCTTTGGTTAATAACAGAGAGTCACCAATCTGGGTATTATAAGGACAAAAAAAAAAAGAGAGAATGGTTTGGTAGATAAAACATTATCAAACTCTAATGTCCCTGAGGAGAACAGTAAGAAAAACAATCTCTGAGGTTGAAACTATTAACTCTCTACGATACTTCAATGTTTTCCTGTCTCATGTTGGCAGGCCCTACTTTGAAATACAACAGCTGCATTTATACACAGCAACATCAGATATCAGAAATAATCACTAGATGGATGCCTGTAATCCCAGCACTTTGGGAGCCCGAGGTGGGCGGATCACCAGAGGTTGGGAGTTCGAAACCAGCCTGGCCAACATGGTGAAACCCCGTCTCTACTAAAAATACAAAAATTAGCCAGGTGTGCTAGTGCATACCTGTAATCCCAGCTACTCGGGAGGCTGAGGCATGAGAATCACTTGAACCCAGAAGGCGAAGGTTGCAGTGAGCCGAGATCATGCCACTGCACTCCAGCCTAGGTGACAGAATGAGACTTCACCTCAAACAAACAAAAAAAATTAGAAATAATCAAGATGGAAAATGGAACAAGGCACACAGTAAAAGGCCAAATTCACCATTGTAAAATGGGGATGATTATCTGCCCAGCTATGCCCACCTTTCAGTAGAAGCAGAAAGCATGGCACCTGTGGTCAGGGTACATATAGTTGGGATGGGGAGAATCCAATATCATGAATTTAGCTATTAAAATCCAAGAGGATATGCTTAAGTAGTGGTAATAGCAACAGCTAGCACTAATTGGGCACTTGCTGTGATAGGTCAGGCATTGTGTTAAGCACTCTACATGCAGATGACCAAAGGGAGGCACAGGGAGGTAACTGATGTGCTGGGGCCCATACTGCTAAGTTGTATACCTGGTGCTGAATCCAAACTGTCCAGCTTGAAGAGCTGGGCTCTTTTTTATTTTTCTCTTAGCTATGTTTTCCTTTGTTGTCCAAATTTTCCACAATGAGTGTTGATGTCTTTTTTTTTTTTTGGACAAAGTATCGCTCTGTCACCCAGGCTGGAGTACAGTGGCACGATCTCGACTCACTGCAACCTCTGCCTCCTGGGTTCAAGCAATTCTCATGCCTCAGCCTCCCGAGTAGCTGGGATTACAGGCATATGCCACCACACCACTCCCGGCTAAATTTTTTTTTTTTCTTTTAGTAAATTTTACTTTTAATACAGAGTGAAAGAAAATAAAAACTTACTAGGCTAAAACAAGTCAAACACCCATTCTACACAGATAAAAACCTTCACAAAGGTCAACGGAAGTAATCCAGAGCTGAAACTGAATTGTGCAGATTTTCAATGGTCATCAAAGTCATGTAACACAAACAAAAGTCAATTATATGTACACACTCAACAAGCCCTCTAAGAAATGTGCCCCAAGAAGCATTAACCTTTGTTTTGTGCCATCCTGAAGACTTGCACATTTTATTTTTCAGATAGCTTAACATTTTTAATAGAGTGTGCTCTCTACCATGCGGTAATGCTTTGGTACTATTCATACGGGGTCTCGCCTGTCCTAAAGACCTGCCATTTCCCAAAGAGGAGCTTTTGATTCTGCTTTAGAAGTTTTACATAAATTAAAATCTTTATCAAATATTAATATGAAGGGAGGCACAGGATGCAACATATATAGTCAAGTTACCTCTGTATATTTAGAAATTACTTTCTCCTCCAAGGTATTTGCAACAGAAAGCTCAATCTGTCCTGCTTAATAATCAGTAGTACAGGTTTGAATCATCAGAAGCTTGGCAAGACCTTAATATTTCAGAATTATCAACAACTACCTCTAGGGGCAAGTCCATGTTACTGAGTTATGACAAATTTATTATCGTGAGGGAAAACAAGAGTAGCCAGCCATCTTAAAAAATGCCCCAACCACTGCTTCTCAATACAGAAAGACTAAAAACTACATACAGTTTATCATACAACAAATCCCATCTCTGTCCCCTGAAATTCCCCTAGTTTCATTCATTAGAAGGGGATTAAAAGAAAAAAAAAAAAGACTTAAAGAGCACTTTACAGCAGCATTCAGCTTTCCTATGAAATACTCAGCATCTTAAATATTACGTACAACTCTTTTTTTAGTAAGCTAGACACTGGCTTCAGAGTTTGTGGGACTGGGGGAAATCAACCCATTCAAAACTACTCTAGAAATTGTCTTTTGGCAGAATAGCAGATACCCAAGTTAAAACTAGGAGGGTCATTTGAGACCAGCCTGGCCAACGTGGTGAAACCCCATCTCTACAAAAACTAAAAAATTAGCTGGGTCTGGTGGTGGGCACCTATAAACCCAGTTACTTGGGAGGCTGAGGCAGGAGAATCACTTGAACCCGGGAGGCGGAAGTTGCAGTGAGCTAAGATCACGCCACTGCACTCCAGCCTAGGCAACAAGAGCAAGACTCCATCTCAAAAAAAAAAAAAACAAAAACAAAACAGAGGGTCAGTTTGTTGCTTTGTGGTCTTTTCAAAATTTAGATTTTTTTTTTTTGTTGTTCCCCTTCTACATAAAAACCTGTCACCACTCCTGAGTGGAGATGGGCAGGGGCTCTGGCCCCTGCTCCTCTGGCTTCTCGGCAGCTGCTTTCTTATTGCTGCAGCAAGGCTTGAAGAGATGTGTGTCAATGAGGACTTTCCCAAAACGGCCTTTATAGATGATCCCACAACATATCTTCTGTCTTTTCCAGTATGTGAGATCTAAAAAGGAAAAAACTGGTGTTCTATTAGAACCAGAAGCCATCTCTGTATCTGAGCCGTCATCTGACTGGTTACTGTAACAAGGAGATTCAGCTGGGGAGGCACTTGAGGTGGTACTGTGAGCATCAGAATTATGACGTTTAAATTCCTTCTGCAGTTTACTGATCTGGTTGCTTTTTATCCTGTTCCCAGATAGAGTTTTCACTTTCTTTGGTTTCAATGTAGTCTTTAGACTGGGTCCAGCCCTTACATCTACCACATGATTCCAGTTTTTTTTTTGATCCTGCTGGCAACTTCTTCCATCTTTTCACAAGCAGGACACAGGCATTGCAGATGTCTCCTGAACGAGTCTCATGCAATCCAAAACAGCTCTGGAAGTCCTTTTCATAGTGTTTACTGTCAGTGAATTGAGAACTGGAGGACTTAGCTCTGCAAATACAGCAGCCCTCTATACTTCGGTACATCTTTGGCTTGTGAAAACTAAACATCTTTTCCTCTGGGCAATAGTCTTCCAAAAGCAGCCGTTCCACACTCAATAACGTCCCCGAGGTGCGGAGTGCACGCCAGGACAGTCCCCCTCAAGCACTCCCTCCTCCTCAACTGCCTTGTCTAGAAAGATTGTCTCCTGCAGTTCTGCAGTTGCTACCGCTGGCCGAGAAGGTGTAGATTCCGCTTTCCTTTTTTTTTGTTTTTTTTTGAGACGGAGTCTCGCTCTGTCGCCCAGGCTGGAGTGCAGTGGCACAGTATCGGCTCACCACAAGCTCCGCCTCCCGGGTTCAAGAGATTCTCCTGCCTCAGCCTTCCGAGTAGCTGGGATTACAGGCACCCACCACCACACCCGGCTAATTTTTGTATTTTTAGTAGAGATGGGGTTTCACCATCTTGGCCAGGCTGGTCTTGAACTCCTGACCTCGTGATCCACCTGCCTCGGCCTCCCAACGTGCTTGGATTACAGGCGTGAGCCACCGTGCCCAGCTAAATTTTGTATTTTTAGTAGAGATGGGGTTTCACCATGTTGGCCAGGCTGTTTTCGAACTTCTGGCCTCTACTGATCCACCAGCCTAGGCCTCTCAAAGTGCTGGTGTGAGCCACCACACTCCGCCATAGCTGGGCTCTTAGCTGTTATAACGTCTCCAAACAGAGGTAATATACTAGATGATAAACACTAGAGAAGAAACACAGAAACACGTATTAATAGTTACATCTCCTTTAATTCCCACAACAGCCCTATGAGATAACTGAGGATCAGAAAGGTCCAAGGTCACCCACTCAATGAATCAGTGCTGGTGCCAGAATTTGATCCCAGGTCTCTGATTGCAATGCTCAGCTTCTCCCCACATCTCAAGTCTCCTTAGTAAAAGCACTGCAGAGGAAGGTGTTCCCATTCGCCTCACCACCACAGCAGCACTGAGATACTCATAGCCTTTGCTTCATTTCCCAGGTAACAGTGTGGAGCATGGCTGACTGGAGGTGGTGAGCTGGGTGGGGTCTGTGGCTGAAATTTCTTGGACCTCCCCTTGGGGGTGAGGTCACAGATGCAGGTAGCAGGCTCCAGAGTATCACATTACGCTGTGGGCTTCAGCAGCCTTGCCAGCCCAGATTCTGTCTGGGAGTGGACCCCCAAAAAACCCTTTATCCACTGTCCTCTCACATACATTGTGCTTCTCCTGGTTCTCTACGCTAACGGTGGTGGTTCCATCCCTGACTCTGGCTCACCCTTTGGGTCTATCCCCAAGAGCTCACATTACTAGCAGGTGTTCTCTTTGACTGATGCGCAAGCTCATCAGTTAAGCAGCTCCCAGCTCCCAGTCTGTCACCAGCTGCCAGGAAACCTCAAGACTAGAGCCTAACTCCTCAGAGCCTGACAGTAACCTTTTTTTTTTTTTTTTTTGAGACGGCCATCTCAGCTCACTGCAAGCTCCATCTCCTGGCTTCACGCCATTCTCCTGCTTCAGCCTCTGGAGTAGCTGGGACTACAGGCGCCCACCACCACACCCAGCTAATTTTTTGTATTTTTAGTAGAGAAAGGGTTTCACCCTGTCAGCCAGGATGGTCTCGATTTCCTGACCTCGTGATCCGCCCACCTCGGCCTCCTGAAGTGCTGGGATTACAGACGTGAGCCACCGCGCCTAGCCAACAGTAACCTTTGATGAGAAGTCAATGAAAGGCGTCAGCCCTTGTCTCCATGTTGCCAATAGCCATATTTCTACCAGTGGGTTTCAAGGACAATTTCACAATGCCACAAAGCATCAACACCTTACCTAGTTGGGGGAGAAGTGCATGGAGTAAGGCACTGGGCTGGGCCTCATTTCCACTGTAGAAGCCAAAGCTATCTTTTTCAACAGCTGGGTCAGACACCAGGCTTGGCCAATCAGATGCTCTCACCCACAACTTTAAACCTCACAGTGACACAAAGAAAAAGGGACAGGTGAAAAATCATTCACTGGGAGAGTCTGGTGATGACATCCTAGACCAGACTGCTTTTCGGTCATAACCTTGGCTGTGTTCCCTGATGTCAGCCTCCCTAGATCTCATTTCAGAGCTGAGTTTTCCAGGCTTCTCATAGATTCTGAGTTACCTGAGATCCTTCCAATAAAGTTCTGTGCTGCTTGTTAGCCAGTTTCTCCTTTTGCTTGCAGATACAATACCTAACGTGCTGTGGACAGCATCCAGCTCAGAGGGTTCTTGCCTCCAATGTGGCAGTCTTCTCTAAAATCCTGTTGTGATGAGGTTACCCTGAGGGGGCAGGCCTCTTTCTAAAATGGCTTCTGAACAAATTGTGCATTAAGCTGCCAGTATTGTCATATTTAAGGTAATAGCATCTGGGAAAAGATAAAAATACACACACACTCAGTTGTGTATACATGGAGTGTCTCTCTTTAAGAATATACAAGAAAGGCCGGGCGCAGTGGCTCACGCCTGTTAATTCCAGCACTTTACAGCACTTTGGAAGGCCGATGGGCAGATCACAAGGTCAGGAGATTGAGACCATCCTGGCTAATATGGTGAAACCCCATCTCTACTAAAAATACAAAAAATTAGCCAGGCCTGGTGGCGGGCACCTGCAGTCCCAGCTACTCAGGAGGCTGAGGCAGAATGGTGTGAAGCCGGGAGGCGGAGCCTACGGTGAGCTGAGATCACACCACTACACTCCTGCCTGGGTGACAGAGGGAGACTCCGTCTCAAAAAAATATATACAAGAAACAGTGGAGAGCGCCTCTGCAGAGGGTGAGCTCAGCAGTGGGAGAGGGGTTTTCTTTTCTGTACTCTAGAATTTTTAACATGTTTATGAATAGACTAACTTGTTTTAAAATATTATTTGGAACACATGTAATTTTCACAAGTTAAAATAAAAACAGGATGGGCATGGTGGCTCATGCCTGTAATCCCAGCACTCTGGGAGGCTGAGGCGGGCGGATCACTTGAGGCCAGGAGTTCAAGACCAGCCTGGCTAACATGGTGAAACCCCATCTCTACAAAAAATTACAAAAACTAACTGGGTATGGTGGCGTGTGCCTCATACAGCCTCTTGAGGCTGAGGCACAAGAATCACTTGCCTGGGAGGCAGAGGTTGCAGTGAGCTGAGATCACGCCACTGCACTCCAGCCTGGGCAATAGCGTGAGACTCTGTCTCAGGAAAAATAAAATAAAAATAAAAACACATAGACTAGTGTCATCTTTATTTCACTGGTAATCAGATTTTATATCTGAAGCCCTGACAGAAAGAAAATGACTCTCGAGCTTTCCTGTGACCCCTGGCCCTCAGCCTTGGCTCCTTTGGTCTGAGCCTCCTACTCTCCTGCAGAGAACATCCAATTACTTTGGGATCACTGATGGGGTGGAGGATGGGAGAGCTGGCAGGGTGATGGGTGGTGGCAGGAGTCCCTGAGGGCAGTATGTACCCCCATCTGCATGTTCAATGCCTCTTCTTGCCCTCTTCCAAACCCTATTTTCAACTGGAAAGGAACAGAGGGAAGTAGTGATAGCCTTGGCTTGAAGAACATTCAGGAGAGCTATAAGTAAGCAAATCTCTCCTCATTCATCAAGCCCCAACTGTGGAAGTAGGAAAGATGGAGTTGCAGAGAGGTCCAGCCAGGAAAGGCAATAGAGTCCATGACAAGAGCCAAGCCAGTGCCACAATACCTCCTTAAAGGCCCTATCTCCAAATAGTCGTGCTGGAGGTTAGGGCTTCAACATCACAATTTGGGGGGACATAAATCAGGCCATAACAGCAAAAGCCAGATCAGGGAAGACTTCACAAAGGCAAATTTCAACTGAGTTCTACTGGAGTCAGTCACAAGGGTGCAAGCAGTGTAAACAGCCAGGTACACGGCCGGGCGCGGTGGCTCAAGCCTGTAATCCCAGCACTTTGGGAGGCCGAGACAAGCGGATCATGAGGTCAGGAGATCGAGACCATCCTGTCTAACACGGTGAAACCCCGTCTCTACTAAAAAATACAAAAAACTAGCCAGGCGTGGTGGCGGGCGCCTGTAGTCCCAGCTACTCGGGAGGCTGAGGCAGGAGAATGGCGTGAACCCGGGAGGCGGAGCTTGCAGTGAGCTGAGATCCGGCCACTGCACTCCAGCCTGGGCAACAGAATGAGACTCCGTCTCAAAAAAAAAAAAAAAAAAAAAAAACAGCCAGGTACAAAAGCACAGAGGAAAAGGTGAGTCCTTGTTTGGCCTTTCCTTTAAGGGTGCTGTAGATGGGCTTCACCTGGATATTTAACTGGAAGCCTTTTGCAGCCCTGAGGGTGGGGCCATGACCACTACTGCAGCAGGATTCTATCTACTTTCACTACTTGCTACTTGTATCTACAGATTACAAGCTAAGATCTCTGGCTGTGTTCAGCACCACCTAAGGCTGAATGGTTGTTCCTACAGGACACTGACAATGTCAGACTGCTTCACCAAGAGCCACAAGGCCTTTAAGAATTACCTCAGAGGTCTTCCCACCTTCTCCAATAGCAGCTAAGTTCAGGGAACCACTAAACTCCTCTACTGAACAGCACTCCTGTGGCTGAGGCAGGAGAATTGTTTGAACCCAGGAGGCAGAGGTTGCAGTAAGCTGAGGTCGCACCACTGCACTCCAGCCTAGGCAAGAGTGAGACTCCGTCTTAAAAAAAAAAAAAAAAAAGAAGATATACCAAGTTTTGTTTTGTTTTTGAGAGAGTCTTACTCTGTCCTCCAAGCTGGAGGATCTTGGCTCACTGCAACCTCTGCCTCCTGAGTTCAAGCATAATGTGTAGTGGCACAATCTCGGCTCACTGCAACCTCAGCCTCACAAGTAGCTGCGATTACAGATGCCCGCCACCACGCCTGGCCAATTTTTATATTTTTAGTAGAGATGGGGTTTCACCATGTTGGCCAGCCTGGTCTCAAACTCCTGGATTACAGGCATGAGCCACCACGCCCGGCCAAGACGTATTAAGTTTTAAAAATACAGGCCAGGCGCGGTGGCTCACGCCTGTAATCCCAGCACTTTGGAGGAGGCCGAGACAGATCACGAGGTCAGGATATCGAGACCACCCTGGCTAACACAGTGAAACTCTGTCTTTACTAAAAATACAAAAAAATTAGCCAGGCGTGGTGGCGGGCGCCTGTAGTCCCAGCTACTCCGGAGTCTGAGGCAGGAGAATGGCGTGAACCGGGAGGCGGAGCTTGTAGTGAGCTGAGCTCACGCCGCTGCACTCCAGCCTGGGTGATA